GAAGTTATGATTCTGATGGAAAATTCTTGTGCTGTAAGACATGAAAGAAAAGGTTTCAGAAAAACCTGGGAAGTCTTATATGAACTGATACAAAGTGAAGTAATAGAAATAGGACAATATTGTATACAGTCACAGCAATAGTGTAAAGATAATCAATTGTGAAGACTTAGCTACTCTGATCAATAAAATGATCTATGACTATTCCAAAAGACTTATGATAAAAAATTATATCCAGCTCCCGAGAGAAAACTTAGGAGCTCTAAGTGTAGACTGAAGTATTTTTTCCACCATTTTTTCTTGCTTTGAAATTTTTTTTGTTAATATGGTCAATAAGGAAATACGTTTTACATGACTTTATATGTATAATAGTCATCACACTATTGCTTGCCTTCTCAATAGGTTGGGGAGGAACTGGAGAGAGGGAGAGAATTTGGAATTGAAAATTTTTAAATGAATGTTTAAAAAAAAAAAAAAGAACCAGAACACTGACTAGTGTAAAAGTCAAAAACTTCAGAACAAAACGATACTAATTTATAATTATAGTTAACCACTGCCATTTTTATTACTATTGGCAGGTCCACATTATCCATACTAACAGCAGAAAGCAGCGACACAAATAATTCAAAGGAGGATGATCCCCCAAAGTATTTCCTTCTACAGCAAGCAGATATAGTCTTCTTTATAGATTTTTTAAAAAATCACCATTTCAAACAGCTTACATTTAAATGCTAACCACACATCAACTGAAGGACAGAACAATGTGGCTAGGGAATGTGCAGAGCAATATGAAGAAAATAGAACTGGGATAAAAGCCTGATTACAGATAAGTCTTAATTAAACATTGATAATCTTCCCAAAGGTAATGAAGAGCAAATCACCTCACCATCCTAACTTCTGTGTCCTCACACCTAAAAAGGAGGGGTCGTACTAGATGGAACTCTTAAGGCTTAAGAACTGACTGTACAATGTTTAGAAAGTCACTTCCTGTGAATAATATTATTCACAATTTCAGAGCTGTTGTAAGAGCAGGTGAACAACAGGAGCCTGTTTTGGGAGTGGGAAATGAAAACAATTTCTAACATGTCTTTACCTTGCAGAGCTGGCATCAGCACTGCCTACTGGAAATATGTCCTAATATTGCTGTCGATTCTGAAGGCTCTGGTTGTTAGACTAGTGATGTCAAACTTATTTCAAAAAACAAAACACAAACCCCACAGATCTCAAATGGCCACACATTGTCTTAGAAAACCACAAATTAACATTATATTGTATTTTTATTTGTTAAACATTTCCCAATGACATTTTAATCTGTCTCCTGGGCTTACTCAGGAATTTTGGGGCTGAGTTTGACACCTCTACTTTGGATAAGTGGCTTCCAAATATTTTTGATTGTTTACCCTATCGGTAAAAAAAAAAATCTAGGCATATGACCTCAGCATGTGTATTTATTTATAAATTATACACATGAGCTACTATATTATTAATTATATATATTATAAAACAAACAAAAATAGAAATTAAAAAGAATGAGATAAAAATGAAATAACATTTGATCTTAGAATTAATAGGAAACTACTGGAGGTAGTCAGACTTGCACTTTAGGAAAATCATTTTTGACAACTATGTTGAAAATAGATTGGAGAGGGTAGAGACTTGAGGCAGGAAGGCCAGTAAGGAGACTACTGTAATAGTCTTGGTAAGAGGTGATGAGGGCTGTGTGATTTAAAGAGAAGGAAACAAATCTGAGATGATGTGAAGGTAGATATAAGATTTGGCAAGTGAATGGATACATGGGGTGAGAAATTGAAGACATTCAGTTGTGAACCTGGGTTAGAAATCAGGAAAATGGTTTCAATTTTCCACAAAACTATCCCCCTAGAACTGTAATACTTAGTGGGATAGATATAATACCAGCCTAGTAGCCCTATCAAACCTCGAGAGAGTACCCCATGCTCCTGGGACTTACCTGTCTGACTCTCTCCTACCTCAACTATCATGCGGGCAGAAGTGCAGGTACCATGTCGGGCTCTCTTTTTTGCACACAGGCCTTTCTTGTTGCATCTCACTGTCCTCTTTCCGTGATTAGCTTTTGTTTATACTGTATGTATCTCATATGTACAGACAGGTTTACATGCTGTCTCCTCCACTAGAATGTGAGCTCTTTGAGGGTATGATTTATTCTGCACTTCTTTGTATCCTCAGTGCTTAGGACAGTGCCTAGCACAGAGGAAGTGCTTAGTAACTGAGGGCTGACCAATAAGCAGTCCAGAGGAAAATTATATCAGCCTCCATAAATCAAATCCACCAACACTTAAGACTTCTGTATAAGGGCAGGCCTCAAATTTATTTATCTATACTACTAGTTAAAATGTACTATACTACTAGTTAAAAGGTTTAATGAAATACTTGAGATGAATGTTCATATCACAGGCAGGGAGAGGAGAGGAGCATCCTTTCAAGCAAATTGCGACAATTTCTACTCAAATAACAGTTGGAAAGAATTGATAGCAATTTAGTGGTCTTTAAAAAAAGAAACACTACATAATGTTTTGCTACTGTTACTGGACTCTCCCTGGAGAGATTAGTGGTCTGAATTATACTGCCCTTAAGATATGAATGAGTACTCCATGTGTACCCTATTTAGATTTCTCATAAAGATTATTGCTTTGTAAACATGTGTGTGTGAGCTGTATATCAGGAAAGGAAAAAGCAGAAAAGGAATGGAAAAAACAAAGAAGGCAAAATAAGCAAAACAGAAAAAAAACTGTATTGTAAAATAAATATGCTTCTAAAAGAAACCAAATAATGAAAAAGGGGGAAAACACCTTTCATCAGTTTTACAGAATCATCAATTTCTAGGCTCTCCAAAAGTTTTGAAAGGAAATCAGATATCCAGACTTTTTAGTGGAAGCGAAGATTCCATGGTATCTTTTTTTAAAAAGTGTTTATAACCTCAAAAACTTGGAAAACATTACTCTATCAAGAAAAAAAAAGGTACAAAGTATGAGGAACCTAAAGAGTGGCATTATATTTATAAATAACATACAGAGAGCCTCTAACTCTTAACTGGGAAACATTACAAAACTTCATTCCTAAATTAATTGTTCAGAACTAGAACAAATTTCCTCATTCAAACAATGTTATATATTGTGCTTGCTATTTTTTAAATTGAAATACTCTTTGTTACGCTGATCTTCAAACACCATTTACAAAGAACAGAGAAAAAGAGTACTATATATGAAATCATGAATCTAATTAGTTTATAGATTATAGTTTCCTGGGGGTTTAAATGCACATTAAAATTCAGTTCATTAACTGCAACAGTCCTCTTGTCTCTTTTCTTCCAAATATCTTCTACTCTCTTCTGTGTATTAAAAAAATCTTTTATTGATACTCTTTTCTTTTTTCTCCCTTTTTAGTACCACTATCAATGCCACTCCCTCTGCATGTACCATCCTTCTCCAAAATACAAAAACTGCCAAAACCTTCCTTGTAAATAAATAATAGTTTAGTCACACAAAACAGATCCATGCATTTGCCATATCCAGAAATGCCTATCGCATTCTGAGTGATGGTTACTGTCTTTGGGCCAATTCGCAATAGCTCATTTCAACTATAATGTACCTGAAACATTTTATTAAATAATACTACTTTAACTACCTAAGAATCCTCGATATATGGGAAAATGCATTATAAATCCAATCTGGGATGCACAGAGCACATTTCACTCTCTCAAGAATATAGGAAGAAGGGAAAAGAGTCCGCTACTACTAGATATCAATATCCAGTGTTCTACATATGCCTAAGAGAAAAGGTAACTCTAGAACAAGGGTTCATAACCTGGGCTCTGTGAACTTTTAAAAAATTTTGATAATGGTATTTTATAAAATTGATTTCTTTTGTCATTCTATATCCTTTATTTTATGCCTTTAAAAACATTCTGAGAAGGGTTCCATAGACTTCGTCAGACCATTGACAAAGAGATCTATGATTCCCCCCAAAAAAGAGAAAAAGGTTAAGAACACTTTTGTCTAGAGCAGTTCTTCCCCAGGTGTTCTGGATTGGGGAATAAACTGCAAATTGGGAAGAGAAGAAGGCCCAGGAAGGAAAAAAAGCTTTGGTACTTAAAAGCTCTTCTGTTGATGCATGATTCATTTATCCATTTTAATAAATCAATAATAACCTATAGAAATTATTTTTGTTGTTCACTGACCTCAAAACACTATTTTTGATAATTTAGAAATATATTTTAAGTACATCATACATTTAATTAATCTTATTGCTTCTAGATATGTCAGATTGCTATTTCATGTCCCAAAATAATGAGGTTAATGGGACAGGAAGTAGTATTTTATAATCTGTGCAAGGCTGCAACCAAGTAATTTTTCCAATTAAAATATTCATCTTTATTCCCCTATTCCCCACTTTTGGAATACTGTACACTCCCCAGAATGCTCCTCTAAGATTTCTAAGCAAAGGATGGTTTACTCCCACTCCTCAGTGAGTACTTTGCCATTCAAAGGAAAAGCTTAAAAACTACGATAGGGTTAATTCCCACAGAATGACCAGAAACCAAAGCTATCAGAATCCCAGTGAAAACTTTACTTAACTAAGCACAGAGGACATCTTGCTAAAGGAGTCAGCTCATTTAAAACGGATATTAATCACGTAGAAAGTTCAAATTTATGTTCTACAAAACGGCCAATGTTATTGTATCTTGTATTTGCACCACTGTATAACAATGCAAGTTCCAAATATAGGTTCCACCAGCATACTTAAAAATAAAGTCATGCTACTTTAAGTGTTTGGACATTTATCTTATAAATGTAGAACTGTAACCTATAGCACACAATTACTCAGTTTAACCATTCTCATAGTGACCGTTTTTATATCTCTAAATTCTTAAAAAATGTTAGCATTTCTTCTAATATCACTTGAAGGAGAAAAAAAGGTATAGCTATAGAAACATCTGTAGAAAAATTAAAGTTCCTAAAACATACCTCCTCTGTTTCCATTCTCTTCATCCTATAAAAGAAAAAGCAAATATAAATAAAGTCTGGTTACACCACTGTTAAGTTAAACTGAAAGCTTCAGTTCACTTCAAACCAAAAGATCTCCTTGAGGCTTTTTTTTTTCTGCATTAATTGAAAAATAGCTACACTTAGTGGACTTATATGTATTTTTTAAAAATGTCACCAAAAGTCATATATTCATTTGACATAAACTAATATGCTAATTTGTTAAAAAAAAAAAAACCAACCGAACAAACAAACCTGAATTTGGTATTATAAAGATGTTAGAAAATAAGGGATTAACAATAAACTATAGATAGTGCCCTATTTGTGGACCACTTTAAAATAGTTCTTAAATTGCTTACAGTGAACACGTTCACACATTCACTGTCCTGATTTTAAAAAGCACTGTTAGCTTCATCAATTTAGAGACTGGTGAAAACTATCTAATGAGGAGATAAGGGCAGTGAGGAATAAAAATCTTTCCTGCTCTGAAATCCCATATGTAAGCCAGGCCAGGAGGGAAAACTGGCAAGCCACCTGCTCCTCACTGCCACTCATAACACTCCCCTGATGATTTACATTCAGCAAACTCTCCCACCTTTGAAGTTCACTCCCTCTGCCATGTACCATCCTATATGGTCCCTGGTGCCTATTACCTAACTATCCAGAAGTCAGTCAATCTCTCTTCTATCTGAAGGCGTTCAGTGCCCAGATCCTCACCATTCCAATCCCTGAGGACTTTCGGTTACACATTGCTATCCTCTCAAATATCCTTGATTTCTAGTCCATCAATCCTTTCAATTGCAACTTCAGGCTGCCTCAGGAATACACACAGCAGAAGCATATTCTTGCTCTTGCTATCATTCACTAGACTTCCACCCTGACAATCTACCACTCTGAAATTCCTCCATAAATAACTTCCTGTCCTTTCAGCTCTTGGTGTGGATAGTGATATCCTGTACAGAAAAGTGAAATTAAGAAGAGGGGTAAGTTCTTGGGAAAAGATAAATAGTTGTTTTGGACATGCTGAGTTTGAGAAGCCTAAGGGATACAGAGCTGGAAATGTGTAAAAGGTGATCCAAGACTGAAGTTCAGGGGTACAGATCTAAGAATCTTCCACTTTGAGATGATAATTAAACTTGTTGAGATGAAGAGATTACCTAGAAAGAATGTAGATCGGAAAAAAGAGGAGTGTGCCATAGAATGAGAGTTCCTTAAACACAGAACCTTCCCTTACACTTACATTACTAAGCAAAAGGAATCTATTCGTTATGAGCTTCCTCTTCTCCTCTGCTGTAAATGTGAAACCCCCCTGACACTAACTCCCATTCTCTCCTCCCCTACTTCAGTCTCTGATAAAGAGGTGATGGGAAACTTGAAAAGAATAACCTTTGGAAAGCTTCTCTGGGTACCAATGGTCAAAAAAAGGAAGAGTAAAAGGACTGTCCTAGAGCAGTAAATGAAGATATTTTAAATTTGTAGTGGATCCTGCAACATAGCTGTATGACTTCTCCCAGAACCCTTCAGCAGCCTGTGAATAGGACTGGGGTGGTGAACGGACTTGGGTTTGTCAAGTCATGAGTGGAGGTAAGACAAAGGGCCAAGGGATTCAAGTAGAGGACATCAGAAGGATGAACTCATTAACTACAGGGTCAAGATAGGGAAGAAAGGAAAGTCAGAACAGAGGTGATAATGGGGGAGATCCCAGAGGGGGGAGGAACCTTTTGTTAAGGTGAGGACAAAGAACAGCTCTAGGAAGCAGAGAAAGAAGGATATGAAAGAATTTCATAATTCTTGGCCACTGATATGGAATACATGTGGGTGATGATCAAGGGTGTGATCGTTTCTGTAAATGGCTGAGGAAGAGTAGAGGAATGGGTCAAAAAGAGAATGACAAACTGGAAAGCGTTTGAAGGAACGCCAAGATAAGAGGGTGAGTTCATAGGTATATGGGAAATACATAATTTAAAAAACGAACATTTTCAAGTGTTCTTCTATCAGATTTGCTTCTCTTTCTGATCACTTCCCAAGAATTTATTAAAACTGCAGTTAAAATGACATTCTAAAATCATGATGTTTAAATAATTATGTCATTTCTAACTAAAGTAGATTAAATTTAGAAATTATGGGACAAAAAAATTTCCAAAGATTACAAACTTAGAGCTGGAAGGCACTTTAGAAGCTATTGAGTTCAAACCCCTCCTTTTACAGATGAGGAAACTGAGGCTCAGAAAGGGTAAGTAACTTGACCAAAGTCATATAGCTAGTGAAGTGTCATAAGATGGGAATGGAACTGAAATCTTCCTGACTCCAGGTCCAGTGCTATCTCAAAGCATTTAAAATAATTAAAGTTCCTGAATATCTTTTACCACTTTTAAATGATCTGAATGTTAAGTTTAAAAATTTTTTCTGAAATGCATTGCAAAACTATATAGATTTTGACCAATCTATACTACTTATAGTTTTATTTCAGTTTTTATAAAGCATCCACGAGCAGGGATTGCAATAGAGACAAAGACTGAACTTGAGAAAGAAGAATTATATGGGGACCCAGAGATGACTGGCACAAGAATCTTCATAGGGTGGTATCTGGAGGGAGTGAACTTGAAAAGAGGAGATTCTGAATTCTGGTAATAGAAAGAGGAACCGGAATGGCAAAGGAGGGCAAGGTGTATTATAACAATAACAACAATAATCACTAGCATTTATGTAGCACTTTAATATTTTACAAATATTAGCTCATTTTATCCTAACAACCCTGGGAGGTAGATGCTATTATTATCCCCATTTTATAGATGAGAGAACTGAGTTAGATAGTGGCTAAGTGACTTGCCCAGGGCCATATAACTAGTAAGGGTCTGAGACCATATTTGAACTCACTTCTTCCTAATTCCAGGCCCAGCATTTTATCTACTATACCAACTAGTTGTTCTAATCTAATCTATGACTACTCCTCCTTCTCAGACTAGCTGGAAAGGATGGCCTGGGATAAGCCAAGTTTCTGTAAGGGCCAGAAAATATAAAGAACAGAAGAAAAGGTCTAAGATGAAGTTTACTGACAGAAGGGTGGGAATTCTAATGGGATAACTATGAAAGAAGATACTATGGTGGTTCATTTAGACAGCAGGGATGATTATGTGTTACTGGGATTGGGAGAGTAAGCAGTGGGATTTCGGCATCATGAGGCTGCCGGCTTAAAGAATCACCAGACATTAGAGGCCTTTCCTTGTAGACAACATCTTAGAAGTAAGAGGGCACTGGGCTGGACGAGGGCTTTTTTGTTGAAGGGTTAAAAGGCAAGTTAACTGGGTGAAGCTTTGGTCTTGGCTTTGGTCCAATCTACTGCAAGGCTTTTCCCTGGCCTGGTAATAAGAGAGGTGAGCTATAGCATTCAGGCAGTAGTAGTACAAATTATTAGAATGTAAGGGAGAGTGTAATGAAACTGCTCACAGTACAATGGCTGAATTAAGTCAAGCGTTCAATTAAGTATCTCGTCTGGTAAGTGGCTTCAAGATAAAAGGCCTTATTCTTTGTATTTTCAAATCTTTAAAAAAAACAGTATGGAAGAAAAATGAACAAGATTTCATGAACTAAAAGCATAAGATAAATTTCCCTTCCATGCATTCTATGCTCCAACCAGGCTGGACTCCTCGCTTCCTCTTTCCCTAGTACAATGGGCACTTTCTTGCCTCTGTGACTCTGATAATGCTTTTTCCTACGTGTGTGAAATGCTCCTTCCCTTAACACGTAAAATCTCTACTCAGCCTTTAAAAATCTGAATCAAATGCCACCTTTTCCAGGAAAACTCTTCTGATTCCAAGTCAGGGATGATATTTTCCCATTTGGACTTCATAAGGCACTTGCCTCACACCTCTGATGTACTCACCTGGTATCCATTAATTGATTCTAACCTTATTTCTGTGTCATAGCCTGCTTACTATCCTAAACTCTAAATTCTTCAGGGCAGGGGCTTTATCTTATCTGAATTCTGCATTCCTCTACCCACCCCAGCACAGTATTCTATGAAGCAGACACAATAAACGGTGAACTAAATATTAACCTTACTATTGTAAAACTTGTTTGGTCAGAGTTATCTGTAATCATTGAACATTAGGCTGAAACTTCAATAGAGCAATTTCCTACAGTAATAATGGGGTTTTTTTGGTGACATTTTTAAAGATACTATCTATACCTACATAGACAGATAGATAGATACATACATACATACATACATACACACACACACACACACACACACACATAAAATAAAGATTCAGTAAAATATTTTATTAAGTTCATCTGCTTACTATGTTTAATAAAGTGTAATAGATTAATCCCTTCTGGTAGGTTGCAAGTACAAAATGGAAGTCAATAGCTCTAAATCCCAATCCCAATCCAAGATACTTTAAAAATTGATCCTAAGAGTGTTAAGAGTCCCTATAGATGATCCAGCAACTTTAGAAAGCAGCTATCACCCCACAACTCTTAGAAGAAAGTACAATTGCAGTCACTTAAGACTTTTTCAAAGTGCTTTAATACTCCCAATGCGGATTCCCTTAAGAACCAATTAACAAAAGCATAAATTATAAAGAATCTGTACTAAAAAAAAAAAATCACAAATAAAAATATCAGCACATTCTCTTAAATCAGTTTTCACACTATTTTAAGTCATCATTAGGAAAGCAGGGTGGAATTATCAACTAAGACACACCAGTAGCTATAATCCACTTTTGTGAAGAACTATCTTTTAGGACTTAACATGCTACTCCAGAGCTTCTGGATGATATAGAGGTGATTCCAGGTTCATGAAGACCATGTTAATGGAGGGGTAAACCCTGGCAGGTACTATAACAGCTTGGAAAAAACTCGAACATGGCCCCAGTGACAGGTCATGACTTCTGGCTAAGCATTAGGCTGACTAAGTAAAGAAAGGTTCATCACTAGGTTACTATGTGATACACACTTTGGCCATCGCGCTACTAAATTAACATTTTCTGATTCAAATGTTTTAATTTCAGTACAACTAATTAAATATTTTCCAACCAACTCCAAGATGGCTAGGAATAATGGAGATTAAATACTAGAAAAGGAAGATCAAGATACAGCAAGTCCTGAAGGAGAAAGATATTGGAAAATTCAGTAAAATACTTAACAGAAGGATAAAAGCTCACTTATGAGCAGAGTTACATCCAAATAATTAAGCTTCATTAAATATACTTCACGATATAACATTTTAGAAGCACTTGACAGTTTTGTTACTGATATAAAATTCATATATAAATAAAATTCAAAATGTAGAAAGAGACTATAATGAAAGTAAACAGAAAAAACGTGGAAAAAACTGTAGTTACTTTTTTTTAATGCATACACCCAATTCTAGCTATTTCTCTCTTACCTTACAGGAAAAATGAATAGCAGACTCTGGGGGATAAACAATAAAATGCCTTAATGTAAAACCAAAGCCATGAGATGTTCTCTTTAACATAACCGTTTTCGGACCCGGCCAAGAAAACGTTTCATCTTCAGATGGTGATACTGCTTCACTTTGCTCTTTTCCATCTTTATTTTTTGTTACCTAAAATGAAGATAAAGAAAAACTTTGTTTTACTAATATAATTTTGACATACTTCTAAAAATCACAATTGAGGTATACCCAGATCCTTTCACCTAAAAATAATCAGCAACACATCGAAACACTACCATAAAACAATTTCTACAAGTTCTTCCAGTAGACAGATGTATATTATCTAAATCTCAGATGACAGATAATTAAGGTATAAAACAATACTGTACTTAGATGAATTTACAGATAAATAACTATACATTACTGATACACTGTAACAAAGTATATAGACTTTCAAAATCAACCCCTCCCCCTTTTTGCTAAGATCAACAAATAACAACTTCATCAACCAGTGGTACATACTACTAATTTAGTCATTAGGACATGGGCTACCTATAAAAAGAAAATAAAGAACTAACCCAAATTACAATTGCCACATAATATAAAGCCCTAAGAATTATAGAAGAAAAAGTTCTTCCTCTGTACAAAGTGAGGTTTTAAATAGGAGCTAACCGACTAACATCACTAACACTAAATTTTGTCTTCTTTCTATAAAATCTTATTTTTCCTCAAAAAAATAATATAAATTTCACTTTTTTCAAAATTCTGAAAAAAGTTTTACCTGCTTCCAATACAGGAAGATCCTATTAGTGTCCACATTTAAAAGAGTAAATTAAATGAATGTTAAATAGAAATAAGCTACCAAAAGATAAGTTGATTTCTATAGACTAATCATTACATGTAGAGATTCCCAGTACACTGACACATACCTCAGAATACTTAACTAGGTACAGATTATATAAACCAACAGTCCACTCCTTAAAAAATTATTTTCCTTCCAAGTGCAAAAACTTTCTTTACATTTCACCAAAATCTGAAGTATTACATAGTTTGAGTTATTGCAACAGAATTAGTTTTTTAAAAGAACTATGAAAAAATTGGTATTGAAAAAATGAACAGAAGAATTGTAAAAGATTCTAAGAATGTTTCATTATCTAACCTTAAGGGAATTAAGTGTTAGACAACAAAATTTATATTCTGACTAACAAAATTAAAGTATACTCATTGATTACCAAGCTGTTGTAAATGATCACACAATTGGTTGAAGGGCACAGAGAATAAAATATCTCATTGTGCTTACTGTTTATTACCCTTAGGTTTTCCTCCAAAATGAAATTTCCCATGAATACAATGAAATTATATGATTCCTTTAAAGATTTAATAGAAATAACCTGTTATGACCTTATTTTTAATCCTGAGACAGGCATATGTGTTTATGACTATCATAACGGGTGTCCAGCAGAATCCAAAAGGAAGAGAAAATTGGAATAAATTATGTCTTCCAGATGTTCTCATATGTGGATGAAACTGTAGTGACCTACTGGACTCCACTGTATAGTATCCTAAATGAGACCAAAATTACGCAAGAGTGTTTGGCTTAACTATGAACACATATACACATACATACACTTATACACATGTGTTCACATACAAGGAAAAATTCTCATTGTCTAGGTTATAATATATGGGTGACATTAATACACATATCTTGGGAAAATGCTGTGTATAGACGGCAAATGGGGCTGATAACAGAAAATAAGAAAGCAGGCCATTTGAGAAATGCATTTGAAAAACTATACAATCATATTTGAAATACTGCATTATTTTAATGAGCCCAACTTTCTCCTTTAAGAAAAGGCTCATATTTTTTCACACCAATATTCTTTGAGCAAAACTTTCTGGATGCAAGTCATGTAACAAAAGTCTTCTGGTTATCCAACAACTAGAGAGGCATGTACTTGACACGTGAAGGCTCATTATCAATTGAGAACAATGCAGTAAATGCAATGTAACAGATATTATCAGAAAGATGGTAGGCTAGGCATATAGGAATGAGTGTGGGATCACTAAGAGTATACACACACACACCCATATGTGTATGTGTATATATATACATACATACAACACACACACACACACACACACACACACACGTCTATTTCATCTATGGAAAGCCACCAGCACTCTGGATTGGCCCTCATAAAATATCTCCTGGAAGGCCTGGAAATGAGGCAAACTGTGAGGAAAAGGCATGAATGAGTTTTTAGGGGTGAGATTATAGATTCATCAAAGTAGCTCCAACACTTCCCAGAGTACCTTGAATATTCGCAGGTACATAATTAATTTCTTGAGCACTAGATCCTGTTTCCATATAGAGAGGATCTCTTAAAAATGAATGCCAAGAACAAAGAAAGCCATGATAGAAGTTGAGTACACCTGAGAAGGCATCATAGAGAAGGCAGCATCTGAACTGAGATTTGAAGTAAGATGAGATAACAACATTAAAGTTAAAACACAATGTTAGAGGCATGGACAGTGGAGGGATCTGTTGCAGACACAGGGCTCAGAACGTACAAATGTCCACAGAACAGGAAAGCAAGCACCAGGGAGTAATCTAGTTTGGCCAAAGCATACAGCACATGAAGTAAAATAAATCTGAAAAGGTAGCCTTGGATTCGAAGAACATTAGAGCTGGAAGACTCCAGGCCCCTCTGGATCCCAATGGCGGTCATCTTTGAACTCCAGGCTAAGAAGTCCATGTTGCTGGCAAACAATGGGGCACCACAAAGTGTTTCTGAGGAAGGAGGTTCTGTGGTCAGGAGGTATATGCACTAAGCACATTATTTGCTACTTGACATAGTTCTAAAAATACTAGCAATAGCAAAAAGATAAAGGAAATTATAGGTACAAAGAGAGGAATAGATTTTCTCCACTTCGCCTATTTGTTAATGACATGATGGTTTTACTGAGAAAATCCTAGGGAATCAGCAAATAAACTAATTATGACAATAGTTTTAGTACAGGTTCCAACTATAAGACAAACCCACAAAAATCAAGGTTTTTTAAAAATATACAATAACAAAAATCCAGATGGGTAAAGGGAAGGAACAGAACGGGCATTTACTAAGCACATACTAAGTGCCAAGCACTGTACAAAACACTTCATAAATATTATCTCTTTTAGTCTTCACTACATCCCTGGGCTATTATCATCATCCCAATCAGATGTTTAAAAAAACTGAGGTAGACAGAGCACTAAAGTGACTTGCCCAGGATCACTAAGAGGAATTTCAGAAGGCTTCTTGGAGGAGGTGGCATCTGATTCATGAAGAAAGATAATCATCCTAAGAGGCAACAATGAAGAGGGAGTGCATTTTAAGTATGAGGGGTGAGGAAAACAGGTAGGAGCTACAATACCAAGTAAACGGAAAAAACTTGTCTAATTTGCCTGGAACACATAACATTTGAAAAGGAGCAGCTTAAAACTGAAGAACAGGTAGAAAAAGAAAGGCTCTATTTATACATATAGATATATGTATGCATACACACAAGAGTAAAATATATATGTATAATCTATACATATTTTGTGTATGTGTATATAGCTACGTCTACTTCCACATTTTTTTAAAAAAACAAAATCAGTTTTTTTTCCTTTATTATGGTTTCTTTCAACCTTGGGTTTTTACACAACCAAATGACCATGTTATGGAATCTTCCATGGTTGTCAGAAAAGCAAATTTTAGTACGCAGTAATTTAATTTCTCTTACTTTTCCTTTCACAAGCACATTTGTGATGAATCCTATTCCTTGTTTCCATCTTATATTCACTTTATCTCCATACATCTATTTAGGAAATCTTAACTATTTACTGGAGGCATTCATTTTTAAGAGATCCTCTCTATACGGAAACAGGATCTAGTGCTCAAGAATGCTAGATATGAATTCAGAGGACTAGAGTGTAAATTCTTAGCTCAGTATTTCCTATTTGTGTGATCCTGGGCGTGTCATTTTTATAAGTACCTTAGATGAAGACAAAAATGGCACACATCAAATTTGCTGCTAACATATTAGATGACAAAATAAGGATGGTCTCTAAGGTCCCTTCCAGTTCTAAATCTGATTAATAAATTAACTAACAAGATCATAATCCTGTGATTCAAAAAGATTTTAGGTTAGAATTCTGGGCCAAATCAAGTAAGGTGAAATTTTAAAGGAACAAATGGAGTCCTCCAGTTAAGTTCCTAAGTACAAAGTACAAGGGAAGGGAGACATGGCTTATAAGTGATTCATCTCAAAAAAAGGTTATGGGTTTGGAGAACTCTGAGCTCTATCAATAAGTCAACACTGATATGGTTGGTGGCCAAAGAAGCAAACACTATGCTACCTCACCTGTAAGAGGCCTCATATCCTGGACTAGAGACATAAAAAAAGTCCCACTACAGACAGAAAATCTTGACTGGTTCTGGACGCCACCATTTGGGGAAGAACATAGGTAAGTGGGAACGCACATCAGAGAGAACACCCAGGACAGGGGGAAGACTAGAAACCATATCATACCATACTATGGTTGATGGATATTTAGCCGAGAGAAGAAAAGGTGAAAAGTCTTAGAGGAACGCACAAGAGATGTTCTTAGATACTGTAAAGATCATCATGTAGAAGAGGGGAAGAACCTTAATTAGGAATAGTAGTTCCTGGGGCAAATTAACTTTAGCTGTTAGAAGAAAGAGTGGAACTAAAAAGATTTTAAGATTGTAGATTTTAAGACTAATGGCCCCACATGGAGAGATTCTAGGTCACAGCCCCAGTGGAAGCTTAGATTCCTGAAAGGAATGGATGAGTAGAGAGCGTATTGTGTTAGTGGAGAATAACTTGTGCAGATGCACCGAAGGAAGAAATGAATATTGCGATACTCCCTCCCTGCTGTCTCTCCCTATCTCCATCTTCTCTCAGGAATCAGAATAAGTGGCTATTCTATGTGAGTCATGAGCCAAATTCTCTAGAAGAGAGCATCTCAGTCTGGGTTCCCTCTCTTGTTCTGAAAACTGATGACAGATCAGTGATGCACTTTGTGAGTCAGATGAAAAGCATACACATTAATTCTAGGAGATCACTAGTGGCAAGGCTGCCAGAGACAGACTGAGGGAATCCAGACAGTGATGCCAATCCCA